ATTGTGTTTCTTCCAGGGTTAAGTTACTCCGCAGAGTATCCGACACAATAACCAATAAGTGAAGCTAAGTCCAGCAGCCACTGCGTCCGTCCGAAAATGTGGCGGTAGCCATATTATATCAAATTTAAACAATATATGTACAGTTCAGGAGCAAACACAAAAACTTCAATATAAGTACAAAATATAGAAAGAATAACAATATACAATGATAAAATCTCAAATTGGAATCAAATAAAAATACCAAAAATGTCAACAGAAAAAGTCCGTCATGTCATAACAAAAATATGTAAACATGGAGGGATTTTCCAAAACACAAAACATTCAAAAAGAATTCTACAACCAGTTCCCCGAAAATTGGCCAAACAAGTTCGATCAACTTGTTTAAAAATCCGAGGACAGATATCGCTTCAACAATCCGTAAGCAGATCAGTTATATGTGCACTCAGATGGGTCTGAAGATCATAAACCTAACTGGAACATAGCAATCCCGTTACATTACAGATGTCGAAGTGAGGTCGCAAGACATGAAACTATTCCAGGGAGATATAGGAGACGAGAGAAAATAGAACACCATCGAACGCCCAACTAACCAAAGTAACAGTATCATGCCGGTTCTGCTCCAACATGAATGGCGCAGAATACTTTATTCGAAGTATTTTATGATCCCTGTCAAGTACTGAGTCCAAGGAAGGTAAGCTGAACGAGGCAGTACCAGAACTGCCACTCCTTGGGTTTTGTAAAATCATCTTACATGTAGATTCCGGCAATCCATCTCTAAACCTAGACAAACAGTCTACAACTCCCAGGTTGGTTCCATAGGCGAATTGGCACACCTATTAAAAGTCCCGGACTGACTTATCATACATGCCACGCTAATAGATGGACTAAGAATGGAAACTTGGATTATTTACTCATAAGTGATCAGCTCCTGATCAATGATGTTCTTATACATACACCAGTAGGGGGCAGTTATCCTAGAGTACGCATGTTCAAAATGATCTTAAGTGAACATGAACCCTTTCTTCTATACACTAGGGTAAAGCGACGTTATACACTTCTGACAGCCGCGGTAATGGTGAGGGCTAACAGTAGACGACCAGATTCATAATGCTGTCCTACAAAATGCGATGCAGGTATATTAAACACCTGAAAAGAGAGGATTATAGGTTAAATGAGACTCAGAGAGTATATAGCAAGTAAAATGGAGAGCGTGGCAGAAGTGGCAGATATTGTTGAAGGATTACGACCGTGTTTCTTCCTTGGCATTAAGAAAGAAGATGCACTGCTTAGGTCTGAAGCAACTGGTGACACTTCCAAGCTTAGCTAGCTGCCAAAATAGAGGTTCATGGCCGAAATTAAACCAGGGTGTCTGTGCTTCCTAAGGCCTAAATGGCGAAGATCTTACCAACCCAAAGATGGCTGGGATCTTTATTGCCAACTTCATTAACTATGATATGAAAAAAGTCAGCCTATAGTCTTGAGATAGTGTGCAGAAGCAGTCACTTCAACAGTATTTGACTTGTTCAGGAATCCACTGGAGATAGGCTTCACTGATCCATTTCTATCTTGGCTCAGAAAATTGCCAGTTGTTATCGTTCTCGTTTGTTATTCTATCTCACTTACTATCCCTGTTTCCGTTTCCTTCGGTTCTATCGCACAATCTTCACCATCAGTTAATTAAATTGAGTAATTCTGATATTTTCATCTGTTTGTTAGCATTCAAATATTCGCTCTATTGTACTCTAAACGGCAGATAACCGATCTCTAGCCTTGTAATGTGATAGCTTCTGGTATCCAGAAGCTATGCTGCCTAAATCACTGGAAATACTAATTCATGAATAACTGCCAACCGATTAGTATTAGTGTGATGTGGTGGGTAGAAAACTGTGCGGAAAGAACAAGAAGAGAGCACAAGGAAATCGATTGGCAATTACTACTTCGAAATGAAGATATTGTTAAATCCGCCCTATAGTCTTGCAACAGTGCGCTGAAGTCCTCTGTTCACCGTTATGCAACCTGTTCAGGCATTCACTGGAGTCACACCAACTCCCAGCTGAATGGAAATAACCTCTTTTTCTCCAAACTTCAAAGGAGGAGATAGAAAGGACCCAGTCTGTTACAGACCAGTCGCACTACTACCTATATTATCAAAGGTTATGGAAGGACTAGTGGGCGAACAAATGACGGAGTACATGGATAAGAATAAAATACTTCATGAACCTCAACACGGGTTTTGGAAAGGCAGGTCGTGTGCACCTAATCTTCTCATCGCATGAGACAGTTGGACATCCTGCTTGGACCGTAAAATACCAGTGCACGAAGAATTTCTCGACTTCGCAAAAGCCTTTGACACAGTGCCCCACGCAAGCCTAATCGAAAAAATGTGGAAATGGGCTTCACTGACCCACTCCTACCTTGGCTCAGAAGCTACCTTATGAATAGAAAGTTTCGCACCAGGGTAAACAGGGTGCACGCGAGTTGGAGAGTATCCACTTCAGGAGTTTCACAGGGGACCATCCTAGGCCCACTCCTCTTCCTGATATTTATTAACGACCTGCTAGGCTCAGTTAGCTCATCGCCGTTGATCTACGCAGACGATGCGAAGATCTAGAGGTCCATTAGTGGCGAAGAGGATTCGACTGAGCTTCAAAAGGACCTTACATTTATTGAGAAATGGGCAGTGAAAAAACGGTTTAAAACTCAACCAGCTGAAGCGCTACGTCATGCATTTCCTGCCTCATATGACGCAAACCACCTACACTCTCAATGGAAGCCCGCTCCCTAATGTCTCCTCAGAGCACGATCTTGGTTTGATAACCACAGAAAGCCTCCACACCAGTCCAAACTATGTAGGGGATGCAGCCAAGGCAAATGCGACTCTTCAATTTATGCGAAGACAGCTTGGTGCTATCACCCCGAAATTATTTTTAACCCTGTTTAAGACGTACGCGCGCCCACACTTGGAGGATCACAACGTCATCGCACCCCCTCTGCTTAAAATAGACATTAATCTCTTGGACCGAGTGCAGAGACGAGCAACCAAATGGGTGATAGGGTTGAATAATAAACCGTACGACCATAGACTCCAGCTCTTGGGATTATTCCCACTGAGCTACAGGAGAATCAGAGGTGACCTGATTATGACGTACACCATATTAAACACGCCAAACCATCCCAACGTGAGCATCTTACCGAAGTATCACCACCACTCCACTCGAGGCAATCCTCGAAAGATTGCACATCAAAGAGCAAATAATCAGATTCGTGCACACTTTTTCTCATTGCGAGTCGTCGCAACTTGGAATGCTCTCCCAGCCGAGGTAGTTACAGCCCCCTCAGTGGACTGCTTTAAGAAGAGACTTGATAATCACGTACTCACATATGGACTATCATCTCCCTCTTGGATAAGCTGTGCCTGATGCATATCTTCAGACCTGCTAGTTGTTACCATTGCCATCTCCACAGATCACTCAATTATTATATCTCGCCTGTTATCTCTGTTTCCTCTCCTTTGCTTAAACTTCGGTCCTCTCTCACAATCTTCACTACCAGTTAATAAACTAAATTCACCTATATATTACTCAGTTCTGAAATTTTATTCATATTATCATTAGAATTTTATCATTATTACCTTTATTACTCTCCACATTGCAACTAACTGATCTCCGGTCTGGTAATGTGACGGTCGATAGAATCCAGAAACCCTACTGCCCTGAAACAAACGTTTCAATCAAATCCCGAGACATACAAACTCACAACCAACTGCCAGCTGACTAGAATTAGACAGTCGAGTGGCTAGACCTCCATCCATTGTACATTACACCTCAATTACACCTGGAACCGTACCGAAAGAACAAGAATTGAGCGCGAAGAAATCAAATTGGTTTACACTAGCTCGTGGAAAAGATATTGGATTAGATATCGGATTGGATATTGGATTTTGGATCAGGTATTGCACATTTCAAGGTTACCTCATGAACCGCTCAATTTCGTCCCCGTGATATTGCTGTTCTCCATGGTTTAACGCTCTCGCTTGCTGCTAAACAAAAAGGTCAGTGCACACATTGGTGCATTTTCGAACTTAAGTAAACCAAATCTTCTCCACTTCCCGTTCTAGGTGTGCAATTTACTTCTAATAACTCAGTTTTCTGATTCTGATAAAGTGACTTACTAGTCGACTAACTTTATTAATTTTTTTAACTGCTGGAAGCTATTCCCCACTTGATAAGTTTGTGTCACTTATAGGGTTGGATGTACCGTGGGAGTTATATATCACAGTAAACTGGCTACTAAGGAATTCACATGTATATAGTAAATTCGGTTTAAATTTTTGCCATTTCGCGCGGCAACTGTTTGTCTCTTTAAGTCATGAGTTTTAGTATCATTTCATCCTTGTGACTATACGATCTACTTACTTTTAAAGTCAAACTCTGTACGATTCTTCTCAATGCCAGTGATGCTATTATTACATAGATTCAAATATTATTCACTTTGTCAATTACATTTCTTTTTGCTGTTATGGTATGGAAAATTAGGCCTATGAACATTCTTATGAGATCACCAACTAGAAGCAGTGTACAACACATGTTTAAGGACTGCTCAATGTAGTGAGGTCTTATTGCTTTGGCATAATTATTTCTATTTGAGACAATTTTTATTAGTTTCAAATAGTTTAAAAGTTAAAATATAAGCTCGTTTTGTTATAGTCTGATGATTCGTGCTGGAAGATTTCTGTATTTTCACTTCGCCCGTTCATCAGCACGATATTTGAGCTCTTTTGAAAGTGCACAAAATCCAGTCAATCTTTATCCGAATAGTGATCCTAATGCTGTTTTCAAGAAACCCATAAAACTAAATATCGTAAGTTCATTTATGTATGTTTGGTGTTCATTATTTTGGTAATGTCTTGTTTTATAGAGTCAAAATGATTTCAGAGGATATATTCCGATCGGTATGATTTGTGTTGTTTGCTAACCTTAACCCTTGTCATTAGATGAACTTATGATATCTTATGGATATTCAAGTGGTCCAGGAGGACAACATGTGAATAAAAGTATGTTTGTTTATGTTTCAGGAAATTAATTTTGTGTTCTGAGTTAATATTGTATAGCATTAGCATTGTTGAGTTATTGATGGGTGGGGGGCAATATCACTAGTTATTGATAAAATGGATTTGTGTTCAAAATAAACAATATGTACGCATATTGATTTGGCATAGTTTTTGGCTAACATTCTGTTCTAGGGGAAACTTTTAGAGTTATTATTATAAATAACTTTAATCTTTTTCGTACGAGCACGTAGGATTCTCGTTATTCTCCCAGATCCTCTTACAATTTGTGCAGCTGGGAAGTAAAATTCGTCCTTATACCACTGGTAGCACTCGAGATTATCATGACTACAATCAAATCTTTCACTCACTTCTTAACACTTTTCCTGTCCCCATGACTGATACTTGTCGTATAGATTTATCACTATGTGTTAAAAATGTTAGCAAGTTTAGTTTACAAGATGCTATTACTGGTCTCCTGAAACTGCATGTCAACCTCCACAACCGATTTTTCAGATGTTGGTCTACCGAGAGATTCACTCATAGATTCACGATGCACAAATAATATAATTCTTTTTGGTGAAGACGCTAACAAGATACAAAGTCTTCTGATCAACCTAAGCAACAGTGCAAGGGTGTTTAATGTGTGGTTCTCTCCCTTTAAATCGAGTGTTGCTTGGAGACTGGTCTGCGCCAATGTCTCAACTAACCTTAGTGGTTGAATTAGTTGGGTGCCTCGACCCCTCTACTTATATTGGAAGTTTCATCCACCCTGGAGGTTTTTTGTCTGATTAAACCTCGTCATTAACTCAGAAAGTTCGACTAAATGATTAGTTTATTGCGTAGAGGTTCTTTCCGTTACACTTTACGGTTGCAAAACATAGTCATTAAAGTTTGGGGTTAATTCATACTATTTGACTATAGATGTCTTCGAAACATCATTCTTGCATTTTTGGAGCTCTGAGTAAGCAAAACCAGGGCTAGGTTTGTGGTCGTGTTATCTGTCAAACAACGCACTTCATTTGAGCTATGATAAAAATGAGGTTGTAAACAGATGTAGAAACGAAGGTGTGTATATTAAAAAGAGAACGAAAACGAATGGAAATTAGTGTACTAAAAGTGAAATAGTAATAATTATGGGAGAACCTGTTTTGTCCAGAAAAATACATCCAGAAAAGATGCAGTTACATAGGTCCCTCCTATATGAAAAAAGGAGATTATAGCGGGATCGCCACTGGCTTCTATTTTGTGAGGCATGTGTGCAAACGTCTCAACCATGTCATACACTGAACACCTTCGCTTTTCCCAACCAGTCCCAGCGTTACTAAGTAATACACGATGTGTGATTCACTGGGACGACATTCGTGGTACCTGACTAAACGACAGAAGTTGGTTTTTTTTTCACGATGGTGATACCAGTTGAGTGATCATTGCTACGTTGCTTATCATTGACTGAATAAATTGTATCATTTCTATTTTTTCTGCATAAAAAGCATTTGATAAATGTTTTTTTGTTTTAGATAAAACAAAAGTGGAAATACGTTTCCATGTCCCATCAGCTTCATGGATACCGGATCAAGTGAAACAACGATTTATGGAGAGGGTATTTCTTCTTTTTAATATCATCTCTGTATATTTTATTACGGGGTTGTTAAGATTGTTAAGTTATACATTTGAAATCATGAATAAATCAATGTGGGAAGTCGTGATCAGTGAAGTTCAACTTGTTCGGGTGTAGACAGTAACTACCGAAGACAGTGTATGAGGTTGTGCAACTCCGTGAATTAATTGAAGTTAGACAATAACATCGTTAGATACCGACTCTGTGGTCCAGAGGTTAGGCGTTCTTGCACAAGTCCGAAGGTCATGGGTTCGAATCCTGTGAGGTGCAGGAGTCGTGGATACGCACTGCCACTGATGAGTCCCATACCAGGACGAAACGATCGTCATCCAGTGCTTCCCTCGACCATAGCTGCTACCTTGACGTTGGGTTTAGGCTTGCCTATCGTGATGACCCAACTGAACTACATTGGTTGGACGATAATAACTAACCGATGGTTAGAAACCTTGAATGACATGGCTCAAAATCGTTTGCAATGGCTCAAGTGCATCCATTCCTTGTGTTCTCTCGAATTCTAATCTCCCGGATTCATCAACTCCTCTATCTTTCTGTTTCTAAAGTTATCTCACTGAATTATACTTCTTGAATAATATCTTCGATCCCTAATGTTCTCCACTACCGGTAGTACTCTTACTATTTCTACCACTATAGGATTTGAATTGACAATTACGTCTCTGTGCTAATGTGATATGGCAATCTGAACTTGTGTACTTACGTACGAAGTTCTATGTTGCAACTGACTAACTGACTGACTGTGACATCCAAGTGGTTTCAGCTTTCATAATAGTAATCTAACATTGATCGATTATATGATTACAAATATATATATACATAATAATTCCTTTTCATTACCACTAATTTAGGAGGCTAATCGAATTAATAAAGAGAATTATTTCATTATTACATCGGATCGTACTAGGAAACAAATATTAAATCAAGCGGATTGTTTAGAACGAATACGTCGAATAATTAGAGAATGTATGAATTCGCTAAATAAACCGGAACCAACACTTGAAACATTGGAAGCGATTCAACGTCGGTGAGTGTTTTAACATGATGATGATGATGATGATGTTAAATAATATTTGTAGCTTAGAATTGAGTAGGCGTTCGCGCACAATACCGAAGGTCCCGGGTTCGAATCTTGCGAGGTACAGGACTCGTGGATGCGCACTGTTGATGATTCCCATACCAGGAAGAAACGGCCGTCGTCCAGTGCTTCCAGGTTTCTAATGGTGGTCTAACAATGATTAATTGATGATTTCAAATGTGTAAAAACACAAACCTCCAAAACTCTGCCCGGAAATTTTTTGAATTGTTTCACTCTCTCTCTGTCTCATCTAAACGAGATGAAATACAACACCTCGAAAAGGAAAAATCAATGACATGTTTGTTTATATGATAGATTTGTTGATCTTATATAGACAGTTGTCGGCATAATGTATAATATAAGTTGGAGAATTTTTGACGAACAAACACAAAGCATTGAATAGGTGAAAGTGTCAGAATAGTGCTCACCCAACCGTAGCTATCTCACTCATACAGGAGGTCGATCATGAACCAAATGATTCATTGGTACACGTTTCCCTCTCTCTCTCTCTCTCTGTCTGATGAATTTCCACTAACACGAAATCTACACTAATCAATGTTATTATTCTTCAGACTGCCTCCAACCATTTCAACATCAAACTAACTTCTTACAGTGTTTGTTACGCCTGCACGTAAACACGTCAATTTACCTAGTCGGAAAATGATAGCAAGGATCGAGGATCCAGCAACACGACATGCTACTCAAATCCGATTATCCTAACACCCATATTGAGTAAAAAATAAGAAGACTTGATATCAAGTAGAACGTGTATTCTACAAGCATCCAGAAAGTACGAGGTCCGAATCCAGAAGAGAATCAGGATCCCCTACTACGGATCCCGGACCGGGTCTTGGTCCTGGTCATAAAACATTGCAGATAATGCGTATTTATACTTTCAAGTCTAATAGGAAACAGCATCGAAGTTTGTAACATTGATAGTTCAGACGACCGATAGGAAGCAACATTTGAAGTGACATTGACTGTTAAGACGATCAATAGGAAGCAACATTTGAAGTGACATTAATAGTCAGAACAACCAATAAGAAACAATATTGGAGCACGTGACATTGAAATCTACTAGGACGACCATAAAATTGACCAGTAGGAATTAACCAATAGGAGTTGACCAATAATAATTCTCTTAGGATACTCAATGAATATCCTAACAGTGTTGAATTGATTTATTTGTCTAAAACTGTATGTTGTTTCGAGTGTTTCATCGTCACAGTGTTTTTTTCTTCTACTTTTCACACACTTTTTTCTATTTTTGCAGAAAAGTAAAAGCCAACGAAGAGAGATTACGTGAGAAGAAGGAAAGATCTTTTACAAAACAATTAAGACAAAATCATCATATGACTGATGATTTGTTTTGATCATTTGCCTTTTTAAGTTTTGTTTTGTTTATTGAAAATTGAAAAAAAACACGCTCAACATCACATTTGTTTGTATTCATAGTTTGTTTGTAAAATAATGTAATTGTTGTAGAGAATAAAATTGAATGCAATGCCTAGTTTTTAGATTTTTCGACTGTGTTCATTAAGTTTGTTTGTTTGTCTAATTTTTTCACGAATATATGAAATTTTGCTGTGTCTATGAATTGTAGTGTTTACAATTTATCTATGTATCTATCAGTAGTAGTATATTGTCATTTCAACATCAGAGCAGAGCCTAACAAACGTGAATTTTCGCATATTATTCATGAAACAATATGATTGTGTGTGTGTGTATGTGTGTTTGTGATCAGTTAACTTTTTCCAGATGCGCAGAATTGTGTACTTGACTTTGAGCAATCACATATTTGTAATTGTGACAGTTCTAGTGGTATAATGAATGTTAAAACGGAAGGAAAATGAATCTATGTTGTGTGACTTTTTCAGAGTATCTGAGAGTTGAATACTTTAATGAACAAAAGCCATTAGTTTATTATGTAGATTGGATTGATGGATGAAATAAGTAACATACTGATTGATATTCCTGACTGTAGCTGCTACCTTGATGTGGTGGTCGGGCTTGCTTATTGTGATGATTCAACCGAGCTATACTGGCTGGAACATATGTTCCTCAAGGTGAGGGCACGGATTGGCAAAGCAAGGACTACATTTCTACAGTTGAAAAATATCTGGAACTCCAAACAACTTTTAAGCAAAACCAAAATCAGGATTTTCAACACAAATGTCAAGACAGTTCTACTGTATGGAGCGGAAACTTGGAGAACTACGAAAGCCATCATCCAGAAGATACAAGTATTTATGAACAGTTTTCTACGCAAAATACTTTGGATCCGTTGGCCAAAAGCCGTCAGCAACAATTTTAATGTGGAAGAGGACAAACAAGATTCCAGTGGAGGAGGAAATCAGTAAGAAGTGGTGGCAAAGGATAGGACATACTGCGGAAGCACCCACACCGGCTGCGTCAGAAGACAAGCCATCACGTGGAACCTTTAAGGTGAAAGGAAAACAAGAAAGCCAAAGAATACATTACACCGAGAAATAGAGAAAGATATGAGAAGAATGAACAAAAACTGGAAAGAACTAGAAAGGGAAGCCTAGGTCAGAGTTGGTTGGAGAAAACTGGTGGGCGGCCTATGCTGCATTGCGGGTAACAGGCGTAAGTAAGTAAGTAAGTATATATATAAAGTTATCATCTTTTTTTTTTATCATCTATATACACATGATGAACATGTTTGAATGGTTTCAGTATTGTTGTTATTATTAATTAATTCTTCTAGATTTCTGTTCAATGTCATCTCAATCACAATCAACTGACAATATTCATTCATCAATCAATCAAAAATTAGAAAATCATGAACAATTAATTCATTGTAGATTAGGTAGTGTTGTACCAGAATGTGATTCAGTAAAAACAGCTTATGATTTATGCTTTCAAGAATTTTTTCCAAATTTTTTAAAAGGACAATTTTATGACAAAGATCCATGTGATAATAAATTGAAAATTTATCAAAATTGTTTACGTGATGCATTGAAAGCATCATTCGATATGGATTTAAATGAATTAGATTCAATACGAACTGATGTAGACACAATTAGAAAGATAACTAGTACAGCAAAATGATTTATTTTTTTAATATCTAGTGTCATTCATTATTATTACCTTATTGAACTATATTGAACATTGAATTTATAAGAAGTTTTAGTTATGAATTGATGAAGTGCGTAGTGTATTTTTTTGGGATGAGTGTAAATTACAACATATCACAATTGAATGATATAATTTTGTCATATATTGTAATTGTGACAATATATATATAATTATATATGTATGTATTTCAACTTGTGACATGTTTAAATTGATGTAAATATGTTGTGAGTTTTATTAATGAAAAATGTTTTTACTATGAGTTGATTTGTAAAGTGTTATTATAGAATTATAGATTTTACGATAGTTGGGTAGTACTAGTAGTAGTAATTGCTTGTTCTGAGTGTGATATATGTTTACATTTAGATCATACTCTAATGCGAGCGTGTAAGTTGTTTGCGTCTTACTCAACGTAGGAAAGATACCGGAAGAGAAACTCTTACTGCTCTAATTAATGATAGCATAGCTAGGGATATATTTCAGGAACAATCAGAAAAACAGTCAGGCAGCGATGTAGGTGATTCCCTTCTGGAGTCAGCTTGAAATGATGTCCAGAAAGTTGTGGAAACAGCAGTGGTATCTGCTAGTAAGGTGAACCGTAAGGTTAGGTAGAAGCGGTGGATCTCAGTAGCATCTGCCGAATTGATAGACGCTCGAAAATTCATCGCACCTGGCTGTGAACATGACGAAGTGCAAAGTCAGCTTATGCGCAGGCTGATAAAACGTCTACACAATGATTGCGAACATTGGTGGTTAGCGAAAGCAAGAGCTATGGAAAAGGCAGCAACGATAGGTAACGGTAGACAATTGTTCCTCATATATTGTCTATATGGTAACAAAATTCTTCTTACAAATAACTCCACAAAAACACATCACGTTTATCTAAAAAAAAACAATTAATTTCACCTATAAAAGATCCAAACCCACTACTTAAGTCGATAAAATTAAACGTTGTAAGAATAATGCTCCATCCGTATTTTATTCTGATCTTCCTACTGGCTCAATAGAATTTTACCGTGAACGACTTCTCTTTACCTTGTATCTCGCTCAGTGATATAAATACAACTAACCTCTATCCGAGTGACTTGACACCATCCACTACTTCCTGTATTTCATCCGAAACAGACACCTACGAGTACCTGTTAGAAAGTGTGGCTGGTCTTAAACACTTGACGAGCCTGCGAGTGGATCAAGTATATAGCAATCCACGAAATGTCTGTAGGCCTTTTCGTTAAAGGAAATCCAGTACTGTCGATCTGGACTATTCGCTCTCAGATATGTTCATTACGCTGGATGAATTTACGTAGACTGAGCAACCACAAACCATTTGTAGCATGTCTGATCACAATCCCATTAACCCTAACAGCTGCGAATTGAACTCCAGTACATTCGCCAATAATAATTCTAAGGACACTTTAAGTGCGCTCGACGTCAACCAAACCATTCATGATTTACTACCTTACAAATATCTGGTCGGTGTTCCAGAAAATCCTGACCTTGAAATTATTCAAAAAAAACTGAAACAGTAATTGACCATATATCCTCAGAAGTGTTAAAAAGACTTCAGTGCATGCAAAATGCCATTGTTTATAACGTACTTGACAGTGCTAGCCTACAGTCTGTCAAAAACAATCTTCTAAAAGAGTGTTGATTGTCCCACTCTTGGTGTGTAACACAGGCTACGTAAAGTTCAGACTAAATTTTACTGTCCCATACTTCTTCAAATAAGTACTGTCATGGAAGCTAATCACTTCATTAATAGTCAGTCACTACTCAAACACATTCCACTATTTAATAAGATTAGATGTAATGAACTTGGTCTTGATCCATTATGGGAAATAAGGCTTAAATTCAATCTAATCCTTTACTTTAAACTCCTGCACAAGCTCACATGCTTCTCTTGTAGTTTAGTCCTTATCCAAGGCCCATGTATATATAACGTTCGAAATAAAGTATCTACGGTCAAACATTGGAAGTATAAATCCAAAACTCGAGAAAACTTCTTCCTTGCTAAGTATGCACTGATATAGAATAGGCTTCCCACAAAAATGCGTATGGCAAGTGGGTTACATGAGTTTGTAGAACTTCTTAATGAAGCTCTCTGTTGCACTAACTCATCTGTACGCATGAACTCAGTCGCACCCTGTTTATGTATTATAAGCTCTGAACACACTTAAACTACAATGAACTCAGTGCTGAGTTTTATTTTTATCCTCCAAGTTTCATTAAATTTTTCCGGTTGAATATAAATCTCTTTGGTTTTGATTTGAAATAGACAGGTTACTCTGCTCACTGGGTCGATCGACACTGTTCAACTGTAAACTGGCTGATTAGAATGCACTCTACTGCTCTGGGCACAACTTTATCAGCATTCATAACTGTATGAGTTTCATATTGCCTATTATCAGTTTTACTGTTCTCATTTACACTCTACTTACTTACCATTGATCAATTAGTGTTATGTATTGCCCCAGTTTTAACGATAATACTCTTTAAATTTCCTGCTTACTTCGTTAGGTACATTTCCCTCACTACATTCTAAATGCTTATATCTTGTTTGAAAATTCGTACTATTTCTCCATAACTGTTAACTGTATTGCATTGATGCCTAACCAATAGTTCATAGGTTGTAACAGCCAGACGAGTTTGTGAAAGGAACTTGCAGAAATGGTGTTTCTCAACAGGATGAGACATAGAGCACAAAGTAGAACATAAAATAGTTTCTTTTAAACATGAACCTAATAACGCAAAAGGAGGGAGGGTGGTGTTACTGACCAACAAACACTGACGGTGTGGGCGATGAATTCAAACCATCCATGTTTGTGGGGCAGAATATTTTGTTTCCTTTCGGCTCTTTTGATTGATGAGGCGACTAACCAGTTACACTGAGGTTGCTCTTATAAGCTGGCTACTTCAGAGACTCATGTTTCCAAAACTATGCTAAGGTCTCTATTCTGCCAAGGCACCCGCAACATGCTTACTGAGGTGCTAACAGGATGATTTGGAGATTGCCATTAAATAAAATAACAGTAAGATAGAGAAAACTTTTTAATGATAAGTGTTTTTTTTTACAAACTTTACTCTTTTTACTGAAATTGCGATTTTAACGTATGTAGATCCAGCTTCTTACTTCAACTTCCTTTCTATACACTTGACACTCCACAACTCTCCCTTCCTCATTTTTGCACTCCTTCACTTGTAGGCTATATTACTATAATTTTCTTTAATTTTAGTGGTCAGTATGAATTTTAACTTGACTTACCATGGCTTTGACTACTTCAGCATGACAGGTTAAGTAGTGCTTTGGTTATGTATATACACTTGTCTCGTTGCTGCCTTTTCTCCCTTTCCAGAACCCTACTCACACTGGAAAATCCATTGCGCCTCTAGGGAACATGCACCCTGTGTACACGCACGTCTAGATCACAGCTTCAATGTATCGAATATCTTTTTCACGAGCTAGTATAAACCAAATAATTTCTTTACGCTCGATTCTTGTTCTTTCGGTACGGTTCCAGGTGTTCGGTAATGTCCAATGGATGGGGGTCTAGACACTAGACTGTCTAATTCTAGTCAGACGTTTGTGAGTTTGATGTCAAGTGATTTGAATGAATACGTTTGTTTCAGGGCAGTAGATTTTCTGGATACCAGCAGCTATCATATTACCAGACGGGAGACCAGTTAGTTGCAATGTGGAGAATAGTAGGCAGAGAATTCCAATGCTTATAAGATTCCAGAACTAAGTAAATAAATGGATAATTAAGTTTATTATTTGGTAATGAATATTGTGAGGGAGGACCGAAATATAAACAAGGGAGAGGAAACAGAGATAATAGGCGAGATATAATAATTGAGTCGTCTGAGGAGATGGCAGTGGTAACAACTAGCAGGTCTCAAGCTATGCATCAGGCACAGCTTGTCCAAGAGGGAGATAATAATCCGTATGTGATTGTCAAGTCTCTTCCTAATGCTGTCTACTGAAGAGGATGTGGTCACTTCGTCTGGGAGAGCATTCCAAGTCGCTACGACTCTTAATGCGAAAAAAAGTGCATGAACTTGAGTATTTGCTCTTTGATGTGCAATTTTTTGAGGATTGCCTCGAGGGGAGTGGTGATGATGCATCGGGAAGATGCTCACGTTGGAATAGTTTGGCGTGCTTAATATGTTGTACGCCATAATTAGATCACTTCTGATCCTCCTGTAACTCAGTGGAAATAATCCCAAGTGTCGGAGTCTGGTGAGCGGCCTATGCTCCATTGGGGGTAACAGGCGTAAATAAGTAATTAAGTCGGAGTCTATCTTCGTGAGGCTTATTATTCAACCCTGTCACCCATTTCGTTGATCGTCTCTGCACTCAATCCAACAGATTTATGTCGCTTTTAAGCAGAGGGAATGCGATAACGTTGTGAACTTCAAGGTGTGGGCACGCATACGTACCAAGCGCGTTTCATTTGACCTTCCCCAACAAATTCACTATCGGTCTAAGCAAACCATCCAAGAAACCTACTGTGCACCTTCCCTATTTGTACTCTCCTATTGAAAATGTAGCTGTATCAATCTGTTTCTGTCAGTGACATGGTGTAAATATGCCACAAGAATCTGACTCATACTTAATTTAACAGCGATAACTTTTGCAGTAAATGTGTAAGCACTTGTGACAATATGATCCAGGCTGTAAACTGACATGCCTCTTGTAGCTTACTGTAATTTGAAAATAAATATTATCAGTATTACTGATTCCGAATGACTTTATTTTAAGAAGCCTTTTGTGTTAGACCTAGTCAAAAGCTTTAATAAAGTCGAAGAATAGGACTGATACTAGAAGCCCTTTGACTTGTTTCTGAGTAATATCAATGAAGTAGGTGAGTTGTCAGTCAGTCAGTCAGTTACAACGTAGACTTTCGTATGTACTTACATCATTTCAGTTTGCCATACCACATTAGCACACAAACGCAACTGTCAGTTCAAATCCCATTGTGGTAGATATATTAGAGGTATTACTGGTAATGGAGGAGATAAGGGTCTGCAGATATTACTCAAGAACTATAATGCAGTGAAGCAAATTTAGAGAGAGAAAGACAGAGGTGACAACGAATACAGAAGATTAGAATTTCATAGAACACAGAGTGGATGCATTCGCACTATAGCAAACGGTTTACAGCTATGTCATTCAAGGTCTTTAACTATGGACTACTATCATCGATGAGGATAAGATTATATCTGGGAGCATGTCTATGGTAAAATTGAACAGGAATGGTGAAA